GACGCGCGCTCCGGACGCCGCGCGCACGCGTCCCGGGGCCCGCCTCCCATTGGCCGGCGGGCTTCGGGGCCCGCCTTCTCCACGCCCGGATTGAACGGCCACACTAGACCCTGCCCCGGAGTCGGAAATGCTGCGGGGGACGCCCTCGCCCTCGCCCTGGATTGGCCGAAGAGCTCGCGCTCGCACACTTCTCCAGCCTCTCATTGGCTCCCGGCGGAGAACTTTCTCCTCCTCGACTTCTGATTGGTGGCTTTCTCCCATACCTTCCGCGGGTCTGGAATGGCTGTTACTTTGGGCAGCCCGAACTCCGTGGCTCCTGATTGGCCGAGAGACGCGCTCACCAGGCGCGTTCCTTCGTCGAACGTGGCAGCGGGGCGGAGTCCCGGTCAGGGGGCGGAGCCGCGCCTGCGCCTCCGAAACACCTCGTGTTGCTTTCTGACTGGACCGCGTATCCGTACCTGGCTCCGCCCCCCCGGTCCGCGGGCCGGAAGCTAGGTGTCGCAACTTCCGGCGCGCGTGCCGCCCGTGCGGCGCCTGCGGGGGAGTCGGGGTCGCGGAGGGGCTGCCTGTTGCAGCGGGCCTGCCTACCCGGGTCGGGGACCCGCAGCCTGTCGTGTGTGGGCCGCGGGGACACTTTGTGTACGTCGGGTTTCTTGGAAGTGTCGAAGTGTCGCGTTGAGTGGCTTCTGGAAGCTCCGAGCCCCGCGGCCCGCTCGGGCCCGCGCCCCTCAGTATCGGGCCGGGGAAAGGGAACGCTACCCGGTGGCTGAAGTGGGATCCCGACTTCAGAAATGGCCGGACGTAGGGAAGGGGCTTCCGTACTGTGAGAGTTTGTGCCCGTTGGCGCGTCGTTGTGGAGAACACGGAAGCCCTGCCCTGGAGTGTGAGCTCCGGGGTCAGGACCGGGGGCTGGAGACCTGCGCTTCACGGGGGTGACTTCGAGGGGCCGCGAGCGTGTGCCCCGTGGGCACCGCCCTCCGCCGCAGCTCCGCAGGCCCGGCTAGGTGTCCCCCAGTGAGCAGCAGCCCCCCTTAAGGAGCGACTGCAGCTGCTGGCGGGCGGGGGTGGGCATTGCTTCAGCTCTACTGCACAACCTCCCAACGTTTTGTGAAACCACAGTTTGGGGCCGGAGGCAACAGACATTTGTACCAGGGCTAAGTACTTGTATAAGAGGTGATGGTCTGGCTGATTAGCTGAGTTGGCCAGAGTGTAGTGCTGATAACATCAAGGTCGAGGGTTGGATCCCTGTACCGGCCAGCCACACACACACACACAAGTGCTTATGAGTGTAGCTCTGAGTGTAGATGTATAAATATTGGGGCTTCTGTTTTGTACACGTATGGACATTTAAGATACCATGACATTGATTAGTTCATGATGATTTGGCAGCAGCTTAGCCCTAGAAACATAAGGTATAATGGAGAAATGTTCACAGACTTAAAACATCAGGACCAAGCAGAGAACACTCCAGGTGCACAGGCCAGACAAGCGGCCACGTCACTGTGCTTGAGTCTCACTCAGGTTGGCTCTGGGACACAATTGGCCAAAGCAGAGGGCAGTGGCCAGGGTAGCAGAGGGCAGGGCTGCTGTACAGCCCAGGTGGCCATGACCAGGTTGACTTTCTTCTGTGAAAACCAGAGTGCCGGGCCGGCCCGGTGGCGCACTGCTACAGTGCGCCGCTTGGGAGCGTGGTGGCGCTCCCGCCGAGGGTTCGGATCCCACATACAGACCGGTTCCCGCTCACTGGCTGAGCGAGGTGCGGGCGCAGCGCCGAGGGTTGCGATCCCGTTGCCGGTCCCGGTCCGGTACGGGTGCGACACTGAGGGTTGCGATCTGTTACCGGACACGAAAAAAGACAAAAAAGAAAAAAAAGAAAACCAGAGTGCCCAACAAAGACCCTGGCCTGGATGGATCACGGTATTTCAAACCGAGGCCTCAGCTGCCTGTGATGTGTCCTCTGAAGGCATCCCTGCCCTTCTCGAATTAGCCTGCACCCACCCGTGCAGGAGCAGCAGAAGGGATTCTGGGGAAGCTGGAGGGAGGCCTGTGTTGGGGATGGCCCAAGAGACCCCCAGTCTCTGCAGTGTTGTTCCGTAGCTGGATGAGGTGTGGGGGGTGCGACCTGCTCCCCAGAAGGCAGGTCAGTTCAGCTGAGTACTCTGCAGGCCTTTCTGTCTCTGTCTCTGGCTCCTTTCCCTAAGGCCTGCCCACACACCTTCCAAGAGCAGCCCTGGGGCACCCTGGTGTATCCAGATCCTTCAAGGAGCGTGCCCTTGGGGGTCAGGCTGCCCTGATGCTGTAGTTTTGGCATTTCTTTGAGCCATCACAGATGCTTCCCAACATCCTCCAGGGAGGCTCATTCTCAGAGAAGGCACCCATTAAATACTGGTTGAACTGGTGGGTAATCAAATGTTTTGATTACTACTATTCTCAAAAAGAGTTCTTGGGAGAGAACAACTCCCTGTCAGCCTGCCCCCCGAGGGGGCTAACAGCAGACTTGTGGGCACCCGGGAAGTGCTCCCACGGCCACTGACTTCAGGTTCCTGCTGCTGAACAACAGCAGGGCAGAAGACTGTGCCAGGTGGGTGAGCCAGGGGCATGGGTGAGAGCTAAATCCAGAGCAGGTTGGTAGTGAGTGTGGGCCCAGTGCAGGACAATGCTGGGCGTGGAGAAGGTTCTCTTAAAGCACCACAGCAAGCGGTTAGTGGGTCACATCACACGCCCTGTCCTGGCACTGGCTGTGGCTTGTCACCCTCCTCAGTGGAAGAAGGGTCTGTTTGGAGGTGGCTTGGTCTGTGTGGAGGTTTCAGGATTCCTGGGAGCCATGAACAGAAGGAGGTTGGGGGAGAGGACTGGGCATTGATTTGTGGGGTCAGGGAGGCTGGGCCCTGTAGCACCAGGCTGTACAAACAGGTTTGGGGTGGGACCAGGAGGACTGGGTTAGACTTGAGACCCAACAGACATGTCATACACATTCTGCAGGTGCCACCTCATGTCATCCTGCACCAGGGAGGAGTCAGGACAAAGTCCTGGCTGTTGGCAGTGTGCCCATACAACTTGGCACTCCAGTCTGAGTTCACATGTCTAACTAAAGCTGGGAAAATATTAAGCTTTTAGCCCAACATGAGCCTCAGAAGGCCCTTGCCCTAGAAATGGAACTGCTGACAACATAGACCAACGTTGGGTCTGAGGATTTCCACTGGGCCTTTTAAAAAGTGAACTGGAGGCTGGCCGGTTATAGCACAGCTTTGTAACACCAAGGTCATGGGTTCAGATCCCCGTACCGGCCAGCCGCCCCCCTTCCCCCCCCCCCCCCCAAAGTTGCCCCCCCCTTTTTCCCTTGTTAAGGCCTCAAAAAAAAAAAAAAAAAATTGAGGTTGTTAAATCTTCCTCT